GAAAGAATATGAGGAAAAATACCATTAAATCGAACAATAAAAGAATAAGAATTAAGAAGACAGAATATAACGATTGATATTACATTTAATTTTTGAAGATCAAAGTTGGGATGGAAAGCATAGAACCGAAAGAGAAATCCAAACGACAGAAATACGAGAGAAGACACTATTAGCATAGAACTTGCGTTTTCATCTAGTAATTTCAACAGTGAAATATTGAGTCCTTGTCATCAATTTACTACTGCGCTTAAATTCAATAAAATCAGAGCATTATAGACGAGCAATTACAATGAAATCATTTATTGAAAAAGCAGAGGGAAGCTGAGATGCCAGGTCAGTACCAATATCATTGCAGATTCTACTTTGAATTTTAACAAAAATCTTTAAATATATAGCCGGAGCACCTGACCAGATATTAAAGACATAAATTTTATTTATTATTAGTAACCGTAAGAATTTAATAACTGCGCTGAAAAAATTGCATGTAGATTTTTTCAAAAACATTCATTGTAGAATTTGGTTGGAAAACGAGAGGCTGGACGAAACTGTCAGCATTAACAGTAAGATGTCGAGACCTTGACGCCAATCTAGTCTTCTATTATGTTGGCAATCATGGCTCTCCACATTTTCCTCTCTCTTGTAGCTCTTAATAAGTTTTGTCTTTTTGTTATTCTTCCAAAACCATATTCTGCCATCCATTTGCTCACGCCCATTAAATATGTCACGCGTTGCTTTCCGCTATCTCTCTTCCCCACTATTTGCTCCGTGTGTATCAAATTTTCTAAACCTTCTTTCCTCATTACGTGTCAGAAATTTAAACTGCCTCTTCCTGATGTTAAGTATAAGTTTCCTTTTTGTTTCTCTACAAAACCTCGTCGTTGCTCACATGTTCAGAGAACAGTATCCTGAGCAGCCTTCTGTAGAATGAAATTTAAGTTGCTTCGAGTCTTTTCTTCATCTTTGAGGAGATTGTCCAGTATTTGCTGCCATACAGGAGGACAGATATCACATAACAGTTCAGTAACCTGTCCTTGTTTCCATTAATACCCTGCTTAGCTTTTGGAATGCGTCTTTGGCCATCCCAATAAGGCTTCGGACTGTACTTAAATTCCTAAAGTCTACGTACCAAAGAGGAAAGTTCAGCAGAACAATTGCCATGAAAACGTTTATGGAAAAGGTAGAGGAAAAGCTATGTGACGGTATTGGGGAAATCATTTATTTTAAAATCTTCGCGATATTTTTGGGAAATCGTCGAGATTCTTTCTAGGGCTCCAATTCTTTCGTTACAACCAACTATATATATATATATAATATATATATATATATATATATATATATATATATATATATATATAATTGTGTGTGTGTGTGTTGTGTGTTAGAAACAAATATGACTCGGAATCCGACAAAATCATAAGGCAAATGTCGAATAGAAAAAGTTTTTTTTTTCCATCTTACATGTTTCACTTTTATCGAAGCTTCATCGAAGACTGAGATATGGAGAAAAAGGAAAGAAATTCCGCTATTTATAATTTTGTGTTGTTTGATTTTCATTGGTCAGTCATGTATCACGTGCATTCCCCTCTTTTAAAACAACGTTACTATAATTTTTGGCTTTCAGAATTTAATGAGAGATGACACGTCATCTGAATTTTAATGAAATTTACGGAATCAAAATCTACCTGAAAAAGACGTAAATATTGGTATATGCACAAAAGTTTATAATAATTCTATTTTGTCTATGTGGGAATCAGATGTTGATGTGTATTCGTAATTTGGTATCTGTGTGTGTGTATGTTTCTAGTAGATATTATGTTTGCTGGGTTTTTTTGTATGTTGTTTTGGGAAATTTTTGAAAATACCATCACGAAAAATCCATAACGGTCATATTGAAGTTTTCTGTTAGAATTATATATGATGAGTATATGTCAGTAAATCCGTAGTCTTGGTACTGCTATTATTTTGCTAGTGCTATTATTTAAATAAATAAAAAATTAAAAAAAAAACTACCTACGCAGTCTGTGGCGTTCGCTGATCTACAATTCGCCGCTTGTCAGAGAGAGAGGGAGAGAGAGAGAGAGAGAGAGAGTAACACCTATGGTTCAAGTTTACAATTGGTATTCTCGCGCGTGAAAAATAAAACCGTTGGATCGATCGGTATATAAAAATCCGCTCCAAACAGGATTTAAGCAGTCGTTTCACCATCTCATGCAGCGTTTGGCGTGTGTGTATCCATGTTTTAGACGAGGCCTCTGTGGGTCTCACGACACACACTGACTCGGAGTTCCTCTTTTTTTCTTTTCTGTTCTTTTCTCAACCTTTCACATTGTTTTTTTTTTATGAATCATACCCACTTTATCGCACTGTTTTCAATCTGCTTACCTGTTTTTATTTTCTATTTTTAGCCTTTCTCCCCACCCACAACTTGCATTTTCCCACACTCTGCATTCTTATTTCTCAGTGTACTCGCGTATCTTTTTTTAATCGTCTCACCGACACAAGGTATTAAAACCACTAAATCACAAGGGGTTACCAAGTGTAAACAATAAAAAAGAGAAGCATTATTAAGGAAAAAGGATAATAGATAAGTAATCAAGAAGACAGTCGGAAAGCATTGAGCCAGAAGAGAGTTACACAGGCAAGAAATGCGAGAAAAGAAACTATTAGCATAGAACCTGCGGTTTCATATTGTCTAGGTACCATAGCAAAGAGTTCATCCGAAAAATTACCATCATTCAAATTACCAATTATAGAGAAGTCACAGGGACACGTCACGACGGTGGGATTGTTACTGAAGCCGAAACTTTAGTAATATTGCTGATTTTACTTTAGATTTTATTTAAGAATCTCTATCTATAAAAGGCAGGATGTGTGCGTGTGTAACGAATACACGGCCGCAATTTTCGACGGATTTGCACCAAAATTTACATGCACATGCTCCAAGTTTGTGGGAAGGCCAAGACCGACTTTGCATTTCCCAACGCCCATCGATAATGGAAATAATCGATTTTTTCATGCTTCTACGACAGTTTTCATGTAGTTTGCGGCCATTTTCTACTGGCCAGAGTGAGAGACTATAGCTGGCTGCCACGAATAGGCAGGAAGATTCTACTGGCCAGCGTGAAAGCCAACAGCTGATTAACACGAATGTTAACTAGCATGCTTGCACGCAAAAATATCGATAGCTGCATTCGTCACAAGTAGGAAAAATTTAAATCTGCATGGCACTTTACTCCAATTGGCTCATTCGCTTACTTAAACTCAACGTTGATTCTGATTCCGCAGAAGTGGGTTGGGTGTGAAAAAGTATTTGTTGTTAACATTCTTTTTTTATTCGGTTTTTCCAGTTACGAGTCCTTTTTTTTTTAAAGCTGATCGTTTTGTGTTCATTTTGTTAAGTTCTTTTTTCGTAACAGATTTAATGTTTAGTATAGAGCTTTGAAAAAATTCGCAGTGGGAGATAGGCAAGAAGTAAGGCATGTAGCAACATCAGCACGGCAAGGGCACTCCTTTAAAGGCAAGGAAGGGCAAAAATATTTTAAGTGATAGCGATTGCTGTATGAGTCGTACGATTTTTTAATCAAGCACGGGCATGCTGCTAGTCTCTAAATATACGACAGGAGCATATGTGGCAGCAATATTCAACGCAAGGACGAATGGTAGTTTTATAAATATTTAAAATAGAGTCTGGAGAGAAACGTTGTCCAGCACGATGCGACCTAACAATGGATTTAATATAATCTTTCCACTTCATGTCAGACGAAAATGTTAGAACAAAATGGCGCACTGAATCACTCTCATGGAGATTAACATCAGCCATGCTTATGGAAAGCAGAAATAGGACTTTCAGGTGATTTCTTTTATTTTTTTTTATATGATTCCTCTTTTCATATCTTTTATATTTTCCTCTCTATTTCTGCTAGGGATTAAAAGAAATATAATCATTTCACCCCAAACAAGGCGATATTGGCACTAAAGTACAAAGTGCTACTGGGAGTAAAAGATAATAAGAAAACTTTAGAACGAACCAGAAACCTAAACTTAAATTAAAAAAAAGGGATAAACATCTATCCCCGTTCAAATGACCGGTTAGGAGTTTGAACCGGAAAATAGGCAAACCTATCTAATCCTATTGTTAATTAAAAAGAATTCTGATTTTCTTATCTTGGTGGTAGATTTACCAAATATAAATACATTCCTTGGTCCTAATAGTACATTTTTTTCAAAGATTACACCCAAAAGACTCGTGAAGGGTTTCAAAGATTACACCCAAAAGATTCGTGAATCTTTGTTTGTTTTCTCAACTTTTCTTCCTCTAGGAACAAAAGTTGAGAAAACAACCAAAGATTCACGATTCCCAGAAATTATTAATTTAGATTTACATTATTTACATTGTTCGGATTATAGTCCTCATCTTTGTTGTTTTATTCATGATTTTTCGACTGTTGTACGCTACGGTCTTCTTCAGGTGATATACGTTGGAATTTCGAACCGAACCCTTTATTTTTTTGTACAACAGTATTTATAAGTTGGAAATAAATTTAGGAAAAACGGAAATTAATTGTGTAATCCAGCGAAAGTCAGCCATGAAATAAAAATAATTATTTGTACCAAAAGTAAGGACCTATATATATTGTCTTTAAATTAAATGGCATGAGAAGAATTATTGTCGAACTTTTAAAATGTAAGCTTAAATATTAATGCAATTCTTAAATGCAGCGATCAATTTTGAGTTCTCTAGTTTATTGTTTCCTCTAGCATCTACTCCTCCCTACCTATTGCGATAAAGGCCCAATCAAGAACCCTCCACAGGTGTCAGCTTAAATGCCGCCCGATAAGGCGATTTTAAATCTAGTATACAATAGATGTATTTCAGATGTAGCGTATCTAAAAATGCCAGGATAAAGCTAATAGAACTATTTTCTATGATCCCGACAAGTTTAACATTACTTGGCTGAAAGTACGAAATTTTTTCTACATAGTTCATTCAAACGCGTGAGTTCTTTTTACTCTCTTTTATTTCCCCTCTATATTTACTACAACCTTTCTCTTCTTCTTTGACCGTTTATCGCTCTCTCTCTCTCTATTCCACTTGGTCGCACTAGCTCTCCACTCCTTCCTCTCTATTCATTACATTTCTAGATTGCAACCTCTGTTGACGGTCTTCTCTTTCGCTTCTTGGCAGTTCTTTCTCGCTATAAATAACTCCTTCCACCCATATTTTCAGCTTCTGCTTAACATCACGCTCAACACATTTCCACCATGTTCAATTCCTCTTATCGAGAAAAAAGAAATTTCAAAAAATCGATCAACCATTCTTGGGTATTTCCAATCACTTAAACTCAATAGATTTCTGTTTGATCACCTCTTAAATATCTATTTCAGAATTCAATACGTACAACTCCATTTCAATGAATTATTCCCTATCGCCGCTTTTTCTCCATATTCATAATCTCCATGTTTTCTTCTCTCATTTTCCCTCTTACTAAATACACTAAGACTTATTCCTTTTATATTCTAACTGTATTCTACGCATATTATTCTCTAGATCTATATTCATTTTCATCATTATTATTATTGCCATCTTTTTATCTAATATTCATAATTACTTCTTAATATTTCATTTAAACTATTTACATTTTTCGGACTGTATTCAAGACGTTTCGACTGTTGTACGCTCTGGCCTTCTTCAGGTGATGTACGTTTAACTCAACTCTCTAAGTTTTTTTTTGTTTCTTTTTTTGTTTGTTATTGTTCACGTTGATTTTAGTAATGCCGTTACTTGATCCAAGAAGTTGCGTGATCAGTATCTGGCCACAGCAGAGGTGAACAAAAACTTGTAGATCTGAGTTACTAAAGGGAAATAACTAATACTAAGACAGCCAGAAGAGGCATGACACGTGGAACTAGAAAAAACTACCCTGATGGACAAAAAAAAAAGGGTTCGGTTCGATACTCCAACCTATATCTATATTTATTATTGCTATCTTTTTTATCTTATATTCATTATTACTTCTTAATATTTTATTTACACTATTGACATTGTTCAGACTGTATTCAAGTCGTTTCAGTCGTGGTACGCTCCGGCATTCATCAGGTGATATATGTTGGAGTTTCGAACTGAATATCTCAGTTTTCAGTTCTTTCCCTTTAGTAACCCAAATCTCCAAGTTTTTGTTCACCTCTGCTGTGGCCAGGGATTGAAACTACAACTCTTTGGATCAAGTTTCTGCATTACTTCATCCAACGTGAAAAAAACAAAAAAAAACAAAAAAACATTGATAGTTGAGTTAAAGGGAGATAACTGATACTGAGATATCCAGAAGAGTCATGGTACGTGGAACTAGAACAATCTACCCCAGTCGACGAAATAAAGCGTTCGAACGAAATTCTAATCACCTGAAGAAGTCCGAAGCGTAAAACGACCGAAATCTCGTGAATATGGCAACAAAGATGAGGACAACAGTCTAACAATGCAAACAGTGGAAATAGCTATAATATCTCATCTCAGAAATATAGACAGATATTAATATTTTATTAAACCTGCCTTATATCTTTTCATATATACTAACGATCAGTTTGAGGTTTTCTATAAGTTTTTACTCCTGGGTAGGATGATAAACTACACCAGGCATCAAGGCCTCTGATCAGGAGATTTGAGGTCTTTTTGGAACGTGGAACTACCACCTAATTGCTGTTATACGCAGGCCCACCTTAATCAGGATTTTAGCAACTGTTAGAGTTCCAGCTATGGCCAAATAGTGACACGACCCCTACCCCACAAAAATAAACATAGCACTCAGTCAGTTATGTGCCATGCATGATAGACGTGTAGGCGATCATGTATCCTTCGATACATGACTGACGTAACAGATTTTTTCTCGCAGTAGGTTGCCATTTCCTTCTGCGGTAGACCAGTTGTCATCCAAGACTATAGAACGCGGTCTGTCCTGCTATTTACCCATAGCTGAGGGGAAGAAGAAGGGGATTCATTACTTTCCCAAGGGTATTAGTGCGTAAGTGAATGTAATGGATTCGAGATGAATTCGAACTCGGCTCTCCGATTCCTCAATCAATACCTTTGTAAAGCACTATGTAAGTATAAAAATGCATATCTATAGTAAAAAAACAGTGTTACATTTTTATATGAAAAAAAAAACAAACAAAAAAACACCAAAATACATATTTATAGTAATATGTCCAGCAATACATTTCATCTGAAGTTAAAGGCATACAATTATGTTTAAAATATATTTAGCTGAAGACATAAAATTGTACTAAAAATATTTAGATTTCGGCATTAAATAACCCATAGAGGTGTTGAGATGCCGCTAAAAGAAATCAATTAACTTATACTTTTCTCCTGGTCTATTTTTTTCATCCCTTTAGAGAAAAATCCTCAGACCTGCTTCAAATCGAACCTCCGACTTGGCGGTGACATTCATTCCACCTGTATTCAGCTGCATAAACAACACGTTGCAGTTAAATTGGTCCCAGGTATAGTGCGCAGGTACTACATAGTTTTTTAGGTAAATCGCACAGATACTACACTGGTCCAAGGCGAATCGCACAGCTTCTACACTGGCCCAGGCAAATTTTAGATTCTACAATCAAATCGCATATATACTACACGGAATAATGGCAAATGGCACATATACTACACTGATTAAACGAAAATTGCACAGATACTACACTGATCAATGACAGCAAGAAAGAATTCACAAATACACATAAATACTACATTGGTTCAAGATAAATCGCACAGATACTAAACCTGTTCAATGTAAATCGCACACATGCTACACTGAGCCAAGGCGTATGACACAGATGCTACACTAAGCCAAGGCATATTACACAGATGCTACACTGGTCAATGACAACAAGAAAGAAGTCACAGATACATTAATCCAAGACAAATTACACAAATACTACACTGGTCTAAGGCAAATTACACAGGTACTACGCTGTTCCAAGACAAAGCGCACCGACACTACACTGATCCAAGACAGACATCACAAATGCTACAATAATTCAAGGTATAACAGCACTGATCTTGATCAGATCTGACAAGTACTAAATTTTCCTATACAGATCTCACAAGGAGAAATCTGATTCGAAAGAGATTGCACAGCGAATACAATGATCTAAGCCAGATCACACAGATACTACACTGACCTAGGCACATCGTACATGTAAAATCCTACTGTAAGTTTGAGCACACAGATACTTCTCTCATACAGGGCGGAGAGTACTGAGTGACGGAAGAAATGTAAATCTATGCACAAATAAGTCCGGCATTTTGACTGGCACGCCGTTCGTATTTTTGGAAATATATTTCATAAATTACATTTTGTCTTTTTCTCATGCAGTTTTTTTTCATCTTCTAAACTAAATAGTCTTTCATTATTCTTTGCTTCGCTTAACGAAGAGACGACCGATTATTTTCTTCTTCCTTTTCTATATTCTTCGCTCGCTAGAGTTACCAGTTCCTCTCTTGGTTTGTCAGAATCTCGCCACTGTGTGTAGGCGGATAACTGTAGCTTGAAATACGAATACTTTTGTAATTTTTAGTCATCTTTTAAATGTTACATTTTTGTGGTTTTGTTTTGTTGTATGGAAGGAAGTGTCTAATAACCTATTTGAGAATTTCATTGAGGAAAAAGATTTTGAAAATGAACTGGGAACTACTGCTACATATAAACGTTAATTTCGCTACAGATACACACTCCACACAAGATAACATCTAAATAATTAAACGGCAAACTCTGTCTGTCCGTGTGTCTGAAACCCCTCGAACATGGGTCACACTTGCTCTACATAGCCAAATTATACCTTTATGGAATCTGAATGATCCCAGGATTGAAGATCTGCTCTTTATCTGATGCTTCAATATCCAGGATGCTTTTAGGACACAATTAAAATGTTGATTTTAAAAACGGACAATATTTTCTGAACAGCCGAATAAGTAATACATGGAGTAATGGATAGCGTTCAAAATTCAAATTTTAAAATAATTGGAAAAAGTTTTTAATTTATATTGCGTTTAAAGTAATAATGCAAACTTCAGTTTAAAATATCCCCAAAACTTTGTGAATTGAGGGAAACAATTTTATTTCTTCAAAATGCCAAGGAACCAGAGTAAAAGTAAGAGATTTCTTAACGTGAGGTTTTGAAGTCCTGCAGAATTAGTGATTTGAAGAACTTAATTTTTGGCATGAATTGGAATTTCGGGCCCAACCGGATGTTCAGCTCAAATCGGACTTTCGGTCTAAGTCGGTCTTTGGCCGGAATTGGACATAACCTGAATCTCAAATCGGACTTTCGGTCTAAGTCGGTCCTTTGGCCGGAATTGACATAACCTGAATCTCAAAACTTTCGGTCTAAGTCGGTCCTTTCGGAATGGGACATAACCTGAATCTCAAATCAGACTTTCGGTCTAATTTGGCCGGAATTGGACATAACCTGAATCTCAAATCGGACTTTCGGTCTAAATCGGTCCTTTGGCCGGAATTGTACATAACCTGAATCTCAAATGGACTTTCGGAAGTCGGTCCTTTGGCCGGAATGGACATAACCTGAATCTCAAATCAGACTTTCGGTCTAAGTCGGTCCTTTGGCCGGAATTGGACATAACCTGAATCTCAAATCGGACTTTCGGTCTAAGTCGGTCCTTTTGCCGGAATTGGACATAACCTGAATCTCAAATCGGACTTTCGGTCTAAGTCGGTCCTTTGCCCGGAAGTGGACATAACCTGAATCTCAAATCGGACTTTCGGTCTAAGTCGGTCCTTTGCACGGAATGGGACATAACCTGAATCTCAAATCGGACTTTCGGTAAAGAGGTCCTTTGAATTGGACATAACCTGAATCTCAAATCGGACTTTCGGTCTAAGTCCTTTGGCCGGAATTGGAGGAACTCAAAGAATTAAAGAGGTTTTCTTCAATTGAGGAACTCAAAGTTATTTCTTCAAAATTATCATTGCTGTTTTCAAAGCTGGTACCTTTAGTCTTGGGCCGGAAGACTAATTAGCCCTTGGCAGCATCTACCGTAAAAGTCCGCACGATGTTAGGCTTATAAGCTAGTATTAATATAAAAGTAAATATAACTCATAACATGAATAATGGCGAATATAATACCAAAAATTTCTAAAATTGAAAAACAATTTATTTTTAATTATAAAATAAATACATTTAAGTCAAGAGAAACTTGTTTATTGTCACGAGGTAGATTTATTGGCATTCTATTTTAATCAGTTCACGCAAAGCAAGGCAATAAATCCACTAAGACGCAAGGGGATAACCGAGTCTCTACGATTGCACCAATCAAATATTCTGTTGTCATTTACTTGATTTATATTAGTTTGGGAAAACGCTGCAAGTATTGAGTTCCCAATGAGGATCGAAATTCGCTAGATAGCAGTGATGATCAATCAGATCAGCTCATTAAATAAATCCCTGATCGTTCGATGCCGCGTTAATTAATGTTATCTAAGGTCATTAGTTTTTCTTGGTGATGTTGACAATTCTCATTTTTCTGATGTTAGTTGATCGACATTCCGTAATGACTGACGAACATTTACTTAACCCTAAAACAAGTAAATGCTTGAAGGCTCCGATACAAAGAATTAATATTTGTTTATCCTCACGAAAAAAATTAATAATTTCCGATTCAAATACAAACATTGAATATTTGCAACGAAGTAAATTGTTATAGATTCAATTATAAACACCCAATAGTTATTTAATCCAAAACCAAGTTAACGATGACAGTCACGAATATAAATATTACCAAACTACGAACCTACCAAATCTTAAAAGCCTCAGATATCAACGGTCAGTGTTTAATTATTACTTGAATGAAATGCATACAGATTCAAATATGAACGACTAATATTTACTTATCCTGAATAAAATTAATGATTACAGACTCAAATATAAATTATCAATATTGACCTAACCGTGAACAAAGTAAATGTTTATCGATTAAAACATGAACAGTCATTATATATCTATCCTTGAACTATAAACGAAAATAAGAAAAATAAACGAATAACATTTACCTACCTCTGAACAAAAGTAACGGCTTATCGACTCAAATATAAACGATCAAGATTCACTTATCCACGAACCAAGTAAATGTTTATAAAATCAAATATAATAAAAATTATTTACCCGTTCTTGAAGAAATAAATGCTTATATTTGGAGGTGTCTACATTTTGTTAAACCTACTTTTTAAGGTATCTACTTTTTATGAAATCGTTCTTGAAAAGCAAAGTTTCACTCTTCAGGATTTGGTCAAGTTGCAGCTTTTCGTCTAACATTACAAAATCGTATATCTGCCGTATTTGTTTTTAGATGGGAGTAAAAACTTTGGACGAGTTTTAAATGACTGACGACATATATCTGATCTTTGAGAATTACCCGCAAATAATAATAATAATAATAATAATAATAAGAAGAAGAATAACAACAAAAACAACAACCTTTTCAAATTTTCTTCAGAACTAAAATTGGCAACCGGAAAACCATTGATTATCTTCCGATATGAGTGGGAAAATGTTCACAATCAAAATTCACCAACCTTATTTTCGGAAGTGAAATTATCTATTCTTGTCAAAATGTCCAGTAAATGTTAAAATATCTCCTTTCGTAAAAGAAATAGACTTTTCTTAAGCCAACATACTTATGTATGATCATTTTAGTGAGGTTCACCCTGTACAAGGCCAGGGGACCACTCGAGTTAGAGGTTTAGCAAGTAAGTGGTACAGATTATGTAGATAGAAGGGGAGGACAACGGTTAACCCTAGACTTAAGCAGGTTAAGATTGTAGTGATCGGGAAACATCATCTTGGGAGTCGGTTCCACGGAGCAGTGGTTTGTGTGAAGAAGCTGTTTGAGTGGAACTGACTTTTCATCAATGGAATCCGTTGGGAATGTGGGTGATTTGCCACCATGTGAGTGGAATGGCAGGTCCTAGCCGTGAAGGTTAGAACAAGCGGAACCAAAAAATGCAATTCGTCCGAGCACTTTCAATGGAAATAGCGATAGACCTGTGATAGGTTGGAGGTGGGGGGGAAACTAATTTGTCACCCACAAGAATTCGGAGACGCTTTTCTACCAAGACTGAAAAATGAGGGCTGAGCAGTTCCTGCCCAAATATAATAACAGTACTCCATTCTAAGTCTAGATCTTGTAAAGGTAGATGATAGCACGATGAGTCAGCTACTTGCAGGAGCAGTACAGAGAACGGATCATTTTTCCTGCATCTTTAGCAATGGATCATATATACGAGTTCCACGAGGTGAGTTTAAGCTCCAATAGTTTCTCAAGACATGAACCCTCACCGAGGGGGCATCCATTCATCGTTATTGGTAGTAGTTCGGGGTAGGATCGGTGATGATGGAATATAACTAGTTTTGTTTTAGAGGCATTGAATGTAAACAGCCAGTTTTTCCCCATTTTGAAGTTAGAGTAGGTACCTCTACGAGATCGCTAAAAAAAGAGCATAGCATGATGAAAAGAAACAAAAAACGCCAAACTTGACGAAAACAAAATTCTATCGTCTAAATGTTTATGTTATTATTAAGAGTAAAGATCAAAGTTTATTTTAATTATTTCTTAAAATTTTTCCATCTTTTTAGAACATTCTAAATTTTGATTAAAAAACCTTGTTTCTCTTTGTATCACCGGAACTAGTAAAATAATTTATACAATTCTTAGCACGTTTTTTTTTTCTATGACACACATTAATTTGGAAAATCTTGCAAAAAAAAAAAAATAATAATTGTCGAATGTTAATGAAACTTTCAGAAACTATTCACAGATAATCGAAATAATTATAAATATGTGTTTTTTTATTAAAGTCACGGCAGAAATATTTTTTATATTTATTACCCCACGAACTAATTTTATGAAAACGCTAGAAATTTGATCGTGTCAGGTTTAGTGATTACAACAGTTAAAAGCACAAGTCTTTGAGGAATGCAAATGATGTTTTTTTGTTGTTTTTAATTGGACCCCCCCCTACCTGAAAATCAGCTCTGAATTGTAACATACAAAACTCAAAAAAACAAAGATATTATTTAATTTCAAATGCTTTTATTTGCTTTTAGTTGTTTTTATGAATATAGACAATATTTTCTGAAAGCAAAAATTTTTTTCGATGTAAAATGAATTTTTAATACAATTATTTGTTATTTCTTAAATTATAATAGATTTTTACGTTTCAGATCTTAAAATATTATAAAATTAGTTAAAAGCCGCATCGAGTTTCCTAAGTGTGCTTATATGATAGATCTTTTTTGCGCATTGTAAATTGTATCATTTTGACAAATCAGAAGATCCGCAGTAATTAAGAAATGTAATTTTGTGTTTATAATCAGGCTGTAATTATAAAGTACGGAAGACCAACCAGATTACAATTAATTTGCGTTATTTGAGTTAAGCATTGTTCTCCGCTGTTAAGGGCTTTACTTTTGCGAAACACGTGTGGAGAAGTTAATTTGATTTTTTTTTTCGCGATCTAATGGAGGTACATCAGTTAGAGCTTGATCAAATGAGAGATTAACAGCTAATCTCTGATCATCATGACTTTTGGAGTTGCACTCATATAGCATCGTATCATCGATATAGATATTCACAAATGATCCGAATATACTCTTAGGTCGATCATTTATACAAAGTAAGTCCATCAGAACAACTACCATAAAAAAAAAAAACATTTATAGAAAATGCACAGTAAAATCATGTTATACATATGAGAAAGTGACTGAAGCCGAGATGCCAGATCAGGACCAATAACAGTGCAAATTTTCCTTTGATTTCTTATCAAAAATCTCTAAATATATACCAGATGCACCTGACCAGATATTAAAGAAATACGTTTTATGAATTATTATCGGCAAACGGATGAATTTCATAATTGAACTGATAAATGACATGTAGATTTTTCAAAAACAAACATTCATTGTAGATTTTCGATTAGAAAGCAAAAAGCCAGACAATTGAGAAGTACGAGGGAAGAAACTGCTAGCATAGAACTTACGGTTGCATCTCGCTATTTCAATTGTAAAATGATGAGACCTTGGCGTCAATCTAGTATTGCGCTTAAATTCGGAGGCCCCAGGTGGGAGAATTGTTCTATATAAATAGATATTTTAGAAAAAAATAAAATATTACCTTAGATTATATTCTTCATTATTTTTTGCATCGTTTTTCAAACAAAGAAGATCGCAAATATTGCGTTACACCGATCTTGTCATTGAGATAGAATCCCGGCTAAAATAGAAAACACAGCAAGTAACCTATTCACAATTGAAACTGTAGAAAAGAGCGAACATTGAATACAAAACCGAATATGACAAGCCGTGGTTGCGCGTCGGACAGGCATTGTCAGGAGCTAACATGGATTTAATTAGCCTTTTCTAAGTAACGTTAATGTTGTGAATTGTTTTGGGCGCCTAAATGTCGGTGATTTTCATTCTTATTTAAAGCGAAGATTCTTTTAAACAATGCGCTTTAAAAATTCAATTTAAAGAAAGTGGAAAATAATAGACAATAAAATATGAAGAAAACAAACAAAAAAAAAACGGAATACTAGAAATGGTTTAAAACTAAATGGAGAAGAAAAGAAAATAATTGTAATAGATAGCAGAAAAGATATTTACGAACAACAGAGAAAAAAAAGCAATAATAATATTAATGTGATTTATAAAAAGGCGAAGTCTTCAACAGCCATTAATCCCACGACTACCTGTACTTTGGTATAAGCTTAAGGAAAAGCATTTAATTTTTGAAAAAAAATAACACAAAAATATAGAAAATGAAAACACGTTTCTTTGCATTAATCATGAACAGCATCTACTACAGCCTCAGCAGTGGTGTACATACTGGGCACGACAAATTGACTGGCTTGATTTCAGATTTTTCTTCATCTAGACCAGTTGCCAACCAAGGCTGTATAACCCACTATATCCTGCTGTTTACCCATAGCTCGAAGTATGATATTGATTCATGCCTTTTTCAAGTGTATTACCTTGTAAGTGAATGTAAAGAACACCTACAGGAATTCGAACGCGCATCTCCAATTCCACAATCTGAGACGCTATCCATTAACCGGCCCTGCCTCCACTCCACACGGGTATCTATGAAAAATACCTTAGAATGCTTCACCGGAGATCTGGCATTATTCAGTTGTAGGTTCAATTATATTTCCTTCATTTTGATCTATTTTCAGCTGTAATCATTTCACCCTAAGCAAGTGTGAAAGAATATGAGAAAAAGAAAACAATATCAAGGGAACAGGATAATAAAAGAACAGGAATTAAGAAGACAAAAGATAAGGACTGACATTATTATAATTTTTTGAACATCAAAGTTAACTGGAAAGCAAGAAGCAGGAAGAGAATTTCACAAGCAAGAAGTGCGAGAGAAGAAACTATTAGCATAGACCTGATGGTTATATCCAGAGATTTGAAATGTTAAATGATGAGACCTAGCCGCCAATCTAGTACTGAGTTTACATCGATGAGATCCTGTAATTTAGTTTGTAATCCAATATTTATGAGGAATTTGCAAGGCGTAACTTTCGTTTCGTTTCGTTTCGTTTCTTTCTTTATTTCTTTCCTACGGGAGACAATAAACATTTCCATCTTACTTCCTTTCTTTCTTTCTTTCTTGCTTTCTTTCTTTCTTACAGGAGACAATAAACACTTCCATTTTCCCTTCTTTCTTTCTTTCTTTCTTTCTTTCTTTCTTACAGTAGACAATAAACACTTCCATCTTCTTTTCTTTCTTTCTTTCTTTCTTTCTTTCTTTCTTTCTTACAGGAGACAATAAACATTTCCATCTTTCTTTCTTTCTTTCTTTCTTTCTTTCTTTCTTTCTTTCTTTCTTACAAGAGACAATAAACACTTCCATCTTCCCTTCTTTCTTTCTTTCTTTCTTTCTTTCTTTCTTTCTTTCTTTTTTTCTTACAGGAGACAATAAACACTTCCATTTTCCCTTCTTTCTTTCTTTCTTTTCTTTCTTTCTTTCTTTCTTTCTTTCTTTCTTTCTTACAGGAGACAATAAACATTTCCATCTTCCTTTCTTTCTTTCTTTCTTTCTTTCTTTTTTTCTTACAAGAGACAATAAACACTTCCATCTTCCCTTCTTTCTTTCTTTCTTTCTTACAGGAGACATTAAACACTTCCATTTTCCCTTCTTTCTTTCTTTCTTTCTTTCTTACAGGAGACAATAAACATTTCCATCTTCCTTCCTTCCTTTCTTTCTTTCTTTCTTTCTTTCTTTCTTTCTTTCTTTCTTACAGGAGACAATAAACACTTCCATTTTCCCTTCTTTCTTTCTTTCTTTCTTTCTTACAGGAGACAATAAACACTTCCATCTTCCCTTCTTTCTTTCTTTCTTTCTTTCTTTCTTACAGGAGACAATAAACACTTCCATCTTTCTTTCTTTCTTTCTTTCTTTCTTACAGGAGACACTAAATACTTCCATCTTCCCTTCTTTCTTTCTTTCTTTCTTTCTTTCTTACAGGAGACAATAAACACTTCCATCTTTCTTTCTTTCTTTCTTTCTTTCTTTCTTTCTTACAGGAGACACTAAATACTTCCATCTTCCTTTCTTTCTTTCTTTCTTTCTTTTTTTCTTACAAGAGACAATAAACACTTCCATCTTCCCTTCTTTCTTTCTTTCTTTCTTACAGGAGACAATAAACACTTCCATTTTCCCTTCTTTCTTTCTTTCTTTCTTTCTTTCTTTCTTACAGGAGACAATAAACATTTCCATCTTTCTTTCTTTCTTTCTTTCTTTCTTTCTTTCTTTCTTTCTTACAGGAGACATTAAACACTTCCATTTTCCCTTCTTTCTTTCTTTCTTTCTTTCTTTCTTTCTTACAGGAGACAATAAACATTTCCATCTTCCTTCCTTTCTTTCTTTCTTTCTTTCTTTCTTTCTTACAGGAGACAATAAACACTTCCATTTTCCCTTCTTTCTTTCTTTCTTTCTTTCTTTCTTTCTTTCTTTCTTTCTTACAGTAGACAATAAACACTTCCATTTTCCCTTCTTTCTTTCTTTCTTTCTTTCTTTCTTTCTTACAGGAGACAATAAACACTTCCATCTTCCCTTCTTTCTTTCTTTCTTTCTTTCTTTCTTACAGGAGACAATAAACACTTCCATCTTTCTTTCTTTCTTTCTTACAGGAGACATTAAATACTTCCATCTTTCCTTCTTTCTTTCTTTCTTTTTTTTCTTTCTTTCTTTCAGGAGACAATAAAAACTTCCATCTGCCCGTATTTCTTTCTTTTTTCTCTCACTGAAACGAAGTAGTATCTCTAATATGTCATTTCCATGTTTCCATGCAACAAAAAAGGAATAGTCCATTATTTCTTAGGTATTTCAAGGCTTAATGTTCGTGCGAACTAACTAAGGAACTAACTAATGAAGAGGGGGACAAACAGAATTATAATCGGAATATTTATTCTTCGGTTAAATTAAATAATCCCCAACGTTTGTGCATGTGCTTCCGATGAAAAAAAAACAAACTATTAAATAATGTTTTAAAATTATTGTAAAAATTCAGAAAATTTAAAATTTCATATTGGCATTTGTAAATAGAGCTAGTCCGGTTAACTATGTAAAAAAGTCTGTAATCTATTTGTGACCATATCAATGTTATGAAGAGGACAGCACTTCTAAATCGATTAAATATCAATAATTTTCCGATTCTGACGAACGCCACGCCTCAAGGAAGGTCTGTTGAATGCTAATCTATAAATGTCATTACACAAAGAAATATTTTTTTTTTTTTTTTTACAAATACATCGTCTATTTAAGTGTTGCCTGATTTTGTTACTCAAAGGTGTTTGCCAAACGGGTAGGCCCGGTTGTTGACAGATTTCATGAATTAAAGAAGCGTAGTTGCTGCCTAAGAGCTCCCGAAAATGCACAACATGAATAGCGTTCAGGAGATAGCAGTTCACGAATAAAAAGTAAAAATGGCGACTTTCATATGGCCAAACAAACTGTCAAGAAGCTTCTCTAAGGGATTTTTTTAATCATTTCACCCCAAATCAGTCAACTAAGCAATTAAGACATAGAGTGAAGGAATAAAAGAAAAAGAAAATAAAATATTAAGAACAGTAAAAGAACATAAATTAAGAAAACAAAAGATACCGATTGACATTACATTTACATTTTTGAAGATCCAAATTGACTTGGTTGCAAGAAACCGGAAGAGAATTCCACAAATAAGAAGTGCGAGAAAAACACTGTTAGCATAAATCTTATAGTTACATGTATAAAATTAGGAGACCTTGCCGCCAATTTTGTACTACGCTTAAACTCATAAAGTGTAGGTACCATAGAGGAAAGTAATATTTATTTTAAATAATACAAAAATGTGGCACAAGGCCAAAAGTGGTGGATAGGTGATGGACAGTCATCAATCTGTCGTATCTTAAACTTAGCTAGCCACGATTACTGACCCAAACATACCACAGTATTCCTTATACCAAAACGCATTCTTAACATTTTTACTACAGTCACCATAATACCTCATTGTCTCTATGAAATATTAACTAGTTCCATATGTACAATTTGTCCATAGAGGGAAGTAATATTTATTTTGTTTTGATACAAAAAATGTGGCACAAGGCCAAAAGGTGCGATAAGGAAAGACTAGTCTTCAATCTGTCTTATCTTAAGCTTAACTAGCCACGATTACTTACTCAAACACACCACAGTATTCCTTACAGCAAAACCCATTCTTACTTACCTTTCTTACTACAGCCACCATAATACCTCATTGTCTCTATGAAAGTCCAAAATAGTTCCCATATGTGCAATTCGTCCATAGAGGAAAGTTCATCAGAATAATTATCATGAAAATATTTATAGAAAAGCACAGAAAAGTTACTTTACGGCGGTAGGTAATGTGACTGAAGCAGAGATGCCAGCTCAGGATCAATTGCAGTTTATTTTTTGCATTTCATCAAGAATCCCTAAATATATATATCAAGCGATCCAGCAGGGGTATGTGGCAGTAATATTCAAAGCATGTACGAATGGTAGACTTATAAATATGTACGACAGATTCGAACGAGAAAAAAAAAACATTTAAAGATGGAATATCACCATTGAGAATAAAGCAGCACATAGGAAGAGAAGTGTTAGAAACGTGATACATTCGGATCCATTTTGATATGCTTTACACGTTTGCTTATCTGCACCTTCTTGTAAAGGATAATGGTTTGGAATGAGAACTCGGAGAATAGAGTTCGAATTCAAGCTGAGTTCATTTAATTCCCTTTCATGCAAATAGTCTCGTGGAAAGTAGGAATCCATCTGTTCTCCATCCAGCTATGAGAAGTTGTAACCAATCTAGAAGAAGGAAAACGATGAAATTCCAATCAGCATGGCAAGCTTTTAGTCCATCAAGCTATCTTCCTGCCAAAGTTGCAGTACATGTGGTGTCTCTACGACACTAATAGACTTCATAACACTTTCTAAACGGTAAGATATTAAATCCACTTAAAAATAGAAAATTAGGGATTAAATTTCGAATGACATAGCATCCTATTATAGATGTACTTGTCCTTCTTTTATTAGTTCACACTACCGTTACGCCCTGCCAATACATAGTATACTATTCTGTTTGAACGCGTGGAACGAGTGTCAAAGACACTACTTGGTTTCAGTGAGAAAATGAAACAAAGAAAGTAGTGAACATAGAAGTGGAGAGAGAGAGAGAGAGAGAGAGAGAGAGAGAGAGAGAGAGAGAGAGAGAGTCAGATTAAGTTGAGGAGAACAGATATTACACTTTGGTCTCTGCCAAAAGGCTGAGAAGTGATTGTATTTTGTCACCACCCCGCGCTAACAGGATGTGACATAAAGCCATTTTTATCTGGGGAGCGTGTGCATCCGGGTCAGGTCCCAAAATTTCGCAACCGTCGTTTGCTGTGGTACCAGCATTATACCTATGTTCTGTCTTTAGCAAACGGTCGAGAAGTCATTGTGACCGCCATAAAAGCCTCCTTTTTCGAAAAACGGAAACTGATTAAGGCAATCGCCCAAAATTCCAGTTACCATATTTTTAAAAGATTTTTAAAATGATCAGCTTTTCGTTTAGCATGGTCACGTTTTAAAAATTTTCAGTTATCTGTTTTGGATAAGACTTGTTGTTTATGTCCACCGTCTTTGTCAAATTGAACTGAATTGTATTTTAATGAATATTGTCTTGAAGAAGGTTTATTAAACCGAAACGTCAGACGTCGACATTTCATTCATTTTAAACAAATATAATTGCATTTAAGGATTTTTTGGTTTGTTTTTCAAATTTTCTTCATATATATATATATATATATATATAACAATCCACTGCTGAATTATTTTTAAATTAATATTAAGAGAAATATTCGTAAGACAGGGATTTCGCTAGTATGTGCAATTTTGAATCGGGAATTAACCGATGTTCCTTGGGGACAGTACATCCAAAGTTGGTTTTGCATTCCTATTAAATAAAAACATTCCTATTAAATAAAAGCGAAGGAAAATTGATATAACAATGCAAATCAAGCGCTTACCTTTCGTTTTTCTCTCAAAGTAAGACTAATTTCTTTTCAGTCGTGTAATGGTAAAATCCAAACAACATCGTCAGCAACTGTTAAAAAAAACCCAGAAAGACAGACACATGAAAGAAAAATCCCACCAATCAAAAGTAATTACATTCTGATTCTAATTCTAGAAGTGAATACCTGAATAGAGAATTTGTATTCTGCATAATTAAGAAGGGAGTGGTCAGCCATCATTATCATTGTCTTGAAATTTAAGAAGCGGACAGTGAAGTCATTAGACTTCTTTGACAAATTCTATTAGACAACAATGGAATATTAGAATCGTGATCGCAAAAAACGGGGTATAATTCATCGAATATTAAAATGTCTATAGCTTGTTGCTGGAGTATGCTGGTTGTGTTTAAGCAGAAAACATGTGTCTCCTGGTATATCTAGACTAAAACAAAAAAGGCGGACTCGGAATGTGAGTCCGAGTAACAAAGTAACAACAAAACTATATATATAAACAAACGATAAGTATATATTAGCGAATCAAGCGTATACATAGAGAATAGAATATAGTTGCGTGTCACAAAACAACGAATATGAATGAAAAAACATTTAAACTAGTGAACTGTTTGTGTGTATGTAGTTTTGTGTAGGAGAAAGTCCTAGAGAAAATGTGGTGTAA